CTAAATGAAGTCCCGTTGACTCAACTGATAAAAGTTACCTGTGGCACTGTTTTCCACAAAGCAAGGTAAGTAAAGCAGTAGTGGTACCAAATCAAAGACACCTTTATTACGCAGACAGCAACACCTGAAGCTATGGTTTCTCTACATATCCCTGCACTCCAGTGCACACACTCCTGAAGGGGGTGTTTCCATCTCTCAACGAGGGCAAAATTGGGGCTGGAGTGTAGGTAGGGTAAGATGTCCCAACGAAGGGCAGTGCACTGTTGTGAGGGTAGAAACCATCTTGCTGCCCAACTGTCCTGGCCTTTTTCTCATCAACGCAGGTTTCTGTTTTCTTAGAACGTCATCCTCATACAGTCCTATGACACCACACTGCGACTTCCAAAGAACACCCCCTGTGACCTTCTGAGGGGGTCTCTGACTTGAAAATGACCAGCCCAGCAGATCCCATGAGAAGCAACTGCTATGACTGGACTTTGTTTTTAAGGCCACCGTCTGAGGCGGTGGCTGCCTCGGTAGGCTCAAACATAAGGACGACTGCGATGACGGCACAGGACTGGGCAGCGCGTGTTCACGCTCTTGGACATACAGTTGCTATGAGTCGGAATTGACTGTAAGGCACCTGACAACAATGAGACTACGACCACCGAGTTCCTGAGAGGACGTGTCTGCGGCACCCACCCCCGGTGCACAGTGATGTGCTGAAACAAGCCTGTTTGGAATAAGCCCATACATGCATGAACTGGCGCCCTAGAAGCATTACTTTCTGACTTGCCCTCCAATGAGCCCTAGTCCCGGGAAACTCACTCCATAACTCACTGGCACGGAAGTGACTAGAACTGGCCCTGTGGGTTCCCGAGATTACAAGTGTTTGCGAGGAAGCCTATGGGAGCAGAAACTAGAACCACACAAAGAAAAGGGTAGAGAAGGGGAAGGGGAAGGGGAAAGAGGGAACAGGAAAAGGAGGGGTCAAGGAATCCTAACTGGGAACAAAATCCACCATTGTGTGATTAAACTCTGCACATACTGAAATAGACCTCATTCACTGGAAAAGGACCTCAGTGCTGGGAAAGTAGGAAAAAGTGGAAAACGATTGCTGGACGGACAGAAATACTGTGCATAATATTTATCGCCTGTGCTCAGACAGCAGTGTTAGTATAGTAGACGCCTAACAATGAGCAATTACAAGAGAAAGAGGTGAAGTCCATGGAGCCTGTGTGGACATTGGTCTAGTGCAGCAATGGACTTGGACTTTATTCTAACAGGTCACTTTTCTTATTCAGACCATTTCCCCCAAAATGCAACGTTAAAAAAAAGATCTTCAACTCTTTCCTCATTGATTCAATACAACTCCATTTCAATAAAGCAAAGAGTTTTAGTTAAAATGCAGCATTTACTTTAATGGAACTTTGTATATGTAAATTTTCATTGGCCTGGGTAATTCATAGAGAAATTTTAACTATACAAAGGTTTACACTTAGCAAATAGCCAGATGGCCCCAATGATACTTATCTAAGACTAAACCACTTGAAGACAAAATAAGATCAACGGCATTAGTAAAATAACAAATTATTATACATATATATTTTGTTATTTTACCATTCTCAACACAAATGGAACAATGCCTGAATTTCTACTAAAAACTGGTTTTTTCTAGTCTAACTAGACTCCAAAGTACAGCGAAAGCACGCCTCCCCCAGTGAGCGTTCGCAGCAGCACCTCAGTGACACGCCATCATTCGCCACTGAAGCCGGACTAGTCAACACTGACCAAACGGCTCCTATAAACAAGTCTCCCTCTTTTCTGACCCTTATCCAAATGGCACAGATCTTGGAACAGAGAAAGCACACCGTGCTTAAAGAATGAGAAAATAAATCAGAAAGAACACAAAAATAGAAATTACTCCAACATATGACATTGGCCTATGTATTAGAAATTCATTAGTACGCATGCCGTCATTTCATTAGTAAGAACGTTAGCGGGCCAAAGGCCCAGTGCACTTTCCACCCATCATTCCACAAAGAAGGAGAACCCCAGGAAAGACCCACCAAGAACAGGCAAAAGCAGTTCCTTCTGCCAAGTCCTCTCGCCCCACAAAGCATGAGGACAAGCTGGTGTCGGCCTCTTAGAAAGGCCATGTGGCCGTGTTGCTGCTAGGAGGCAATGGTGGGGGAGGAAAGGAAGACCCCACCCCCAAGGGGGCTGACTTTGCCGGCACAGCACCAAGGAACGGAAGTGACATAAGGATGAGGAGACAAGGAGCCGGCAAACAGAACTAATTCATTATCTTCACAGTGACTGATCTGCAAAGGGGCCATGCTAGGAGGTCCAGGCAGAGTCTACAGTAATTCAGGCAATCACGATGCAAGAGGAATTATATCCACAAAGATGGATTAAAAAAACTTACCACCTAGAAGGAAAATGAATTTTAAAAGTGAATCCAGGAGGAAAATAAGAGAAACACATTTTCATAAAGTTAGTTTTTGATCACAGCTACGATATAGTCAAACTGAACTGCTAACAGCATGCACTACAAATCGGAATCAAGAAAACAGAGTAAAACCTGAACACAGATATTACCACGTATGTGGCACACTATTTTTCAAAAATAAAAAAACAAAGCCCAGACTTCATATCACTAAAAGCATGCTTTTCAGGATGGCATCAAGACTGTGGTTTACCATTTTCTCTCAAAACCAGCAGTTTTCTCGTTACAGCCAATTGTTAATTATCTATGATTAGCTTAACCCTAGATAATCTTAAAATGTTCGTGTAGTCACTTCCATTCTAGTTACCAGAACACAAAAGTGCTGCTTCATCTCTAATCTGTTCTTCATAGGCAGTCGGAAGAAGGGGCGGGAACAGATGGAGGAGAGGTGTAATTCTAAAGGTGTGGGCAACAGACTGGACATGAGTAATTAACACAGCTCCGCTGTTAATTACTTCTACGTATGTTACAAAGTATCATGATCACTAAAGCACATGTTTATTTAACAGCATTATCAAGGCAATGGGAACTTTTTAAAGAGAAACTCAAGATACAGTAAAACTACGAAAATCCAATGCCCTCAGCTTATGAAAACCACCCCCACTTCTCCCCCCATCATTACGCATGCTCAGAGTTAACCAGCACTACCTGCCTCGCTACCTCAGAATGCGGATGGAGGTGCCCTCGCTG